ATATATATATATATATATATACTATGCTGAACGAGTGGAGATACTAGATAAAATAAAAATATATTAAATTTGTATTTTTAATACATTGTTTCTATAAATAAAAAATTCATAATACCAATCAATTAAAGATTATAGTAAATATAACTTTAAAAGCAATTATCACAAAAATTAACAATCATACTATATATAACAATATACATTTTGTCAAAAATATATAATTAGATAACGGTGTAAACAAATTTTATACCATCAATATATTTTACTTTATTTTCGATTGCAAATTAAATTTACTAAAAAGTTAAAATAACACAGAAAAAATAGATAAAAACTCGCTTTACTTGCTCAGAGAATACACAGAAAAAAAAATGTTAAACAATAATGGAGAATATATCAGATGGAAATAAAGGGTAGTCCAATGATTAAAGGCAAGAGTGGGGAAAAATTACAATGAAAGTTATTAACAACTTTAGAGATTAATAACTGATCCATAAACAAGACATGATTTATGAGAGAGTAGCAAGTAGCAACTTCGATTACCTGAAAAATTTTGGTTCACACTTCACGTTCTAAAAGTTTCATAACTTTGTGAAAGATTTTTACAAAATTTTCTCATTGCAAAAGCATAGTGAGAAAAACAAAAGATTGAGAAGTAGAAAGCTCAAAGCAAGTCAATGCTTAACGGTGGCGGCTAGGACAACCCCGTTCTGATTTGGTCGTTCTGAATGATCTTAATAAAGTGGAAAGAAATTTTCAAGAAAAGAACACAATAACATAACATCATTCACACCACAACTTTTGAATTTGGCAGATATCTAGTCCTCTGGTGACAGCTATCTTCCACGTGTGAAATTTCTTGCTTTCACACTTGAAACTTTTCTTTCTTCTCTTCCAAGGCCTTGCTTTCTTTGCCTATGCAAACTTCTCTTTACCAAATTGAAAACTTCAACCTGTAGCTTCTTCTGTGGTTTTACTGAAGAAAAAGAGAGACTCACTAGAAGAGTTCTTTCATGGGTTGCTTCTTTAGTGTGCCTCCAAAGATCAAAGCTGAAAGCCCTCCACGTAATGGTATGGTATCATTCTTTTTCTATTCTTCCCTTTGTTAACTTTATCAGCTTGTTTCTGAACTCTATTTGCTTTAATTGGATCCCTTTTTGGATTGGAGTTCTGAGTGCTCCAACCTTCTATGGTTTTGTCTGGGTTCAATGTTTGACTCAAACATCAAAATAGACTTGCTTCAGATGAATAATATATGATGAGTTATGTACATCCAAAGAAAATTAGAAACACCCTGATATCAAATGCAACAGTTTTATTGGCTTAATTGATGAAATATGTCTAAAATGTTAGAATAATCTTTTCCAACTAATCAATCATTACGAAGTTGTTTCAATTAAACCAATGATCTAGAATATGATTACCAACTAATCAATTAACTTGGAAGTAAAGTTTTGCCGAATAGGATTGCCTTAGCGGATCTGAAGCCAAATCTAATGTCTCCTGTTACTCATATGGGTTACTAATGTAGTTTTTAATATTTTCCTTTCAATTGAGCCTTTCTTTTATATGCAGTTTCTCAACTATGAACTCGGATGCCCTGCACAGTTAATTAAATTTAGTTTAAAAGGATAAACTTATCATGCAATAAAGTTAACAGATGTGATTTATGCAGTTGACAAGAGAACTCGACGATCGTGGTTAGAAGTGAAAAGTAGAAAAGAAAAGAAAGACTGACAGAAAATTCAATTTTAGAGATTATTCCTTTTCTTATTTGTTTTGAAATAAGAAAAAGTTCATGCAATGTAGGATTTTTCTTTATCTACACAATAATAAAAGGTGTGTTGCATAAGATTGCAATAACGTTGCTCCACAACTTCTTCTCTTATGTTTTTTTTTTAAAAAAAAAAAAGAAGAAATGATTAAATGTAAAAGAGTATTGTATGGATTACATTACAGTAATAACTTCTATTGATATGATTGGTAAAAAAATTATTTCCCTATCTGAGTATGTCAGTAAAGTGCTAGTATATGGCCTGAAATGAATCCATGTTTCTGTTTTGCCATGGGCAGGTTTGGACTCAAAGGATGGTAGTAAAGAAGAGAATGGTTTGAGTGGTTTAAGTGGCAAGGTGTCCTCTTCATCTATGCTTCTAACTCCTCAGAGTGAGGATGAGATATTGCAGTGCAGCAATTTGAAGTGTTTCACATTCAATGAGCTAAGAACTGCTACAAGGAACTTTCGTCCTGATAGTATGGTTGGTGAAGGTGGTTTTGGTTCTGTGTTTAAGGGTTGGATTGATGAGCAGACACTTGCCCCTACTAAACCAGGGACAGGAATGGTCATTGCTGTGAAGAGGCTTAACCAAGAAAGCCGCCAGGGACATAGTGAATGGTTGGTAAGTGTCACTTTCACTTGGCATGGCGTTTTACACTTTGCAACTTTTCTCAATGCTTGAGAGTTTAGTGGCATATATGTCAAGTTAAATCCTAGTTAGATAAACTTATCCGTAACCAATTTTAGGAGAGAAAAAATAAGGTAAAATGAATTTAGTTTTTCTTATGGGTTAAAATCAACTTAGGATCTGTTTAGATATAAATTTAGAAGAGTTTTTTAGAGTTTCTTTATTAGAAAAAAAAAACTTTATTTTCACTAAAGAAATTTTCAAAAATTCTTCTAAACCTGTGTATAAACAAACTTTTATGCACTTAAGTTTTAAAGAAACACTTTTATTTAGCTTCTCTAAAAGCTGAAGTGCATAAGTTGATTTTTTTTAGCTTCCAACAGTAGTTCAGTTCATTTTATCTTCTTATTTCTTTTTACTTATGGGGAATCTTATTCAAATAATGTCTTAATTTCAACACGCTTTTTTGCAACCCTTGTGTTTTGTAATGTAAGTAGCAAAATAGATGGTGGTAGTTTATATATTTGTTGTGAATCATGCGACTGATTAACCTTGTACTATAGACAGAAATCAACTACCTGGGGCAGCTGAGTCATCCTAATCTTGTGAAACTAATTGGTTACTCTTTAGAGGATGATCACCGGATCTTGGTGTATGAATTTGTGGCCAAGGGTAGTTTGGATAATCACCTGTTCAGGAGTAAGTTTCTTTGTGGGTTGGCTTTGTTTACTTGTTAGTTCCTAAAGCATCTCAAAATCTCATATCTAATTGTATGTTTCTGGATCAGGGGCTTCTTACTTTCAACCACTCTCTTGGACCATACGTATGAAGGTTGCTATTGATGCTGCTAAGGGTCTTGCATTTCTTCACAGTGATGAAGTTGATGTAATATATAGGGACTTCAAAACTTCTAATATCTTACTTGATTCTGTAAGTGAATCACATTGATCTTACAAGCTTAGGAGATGGATATTATTGGTTAGACTGGCTTTCTGAATTTCGTTTTTGTCAATGACAGAACTATAATGCAAAACTCTCAGATTTTGGGTTGGCAAAAAATGGGCCAGAAGGAGATAAGAGCCATGTCTCTACAAGGGTAATGGGCACCTTTGGCTACGCAGCTCCTGAGTATGTTTCCACAGGTATCACAAATCTTCTTCAAGCTAGTATCACATTCCAAACCTGTTTGAATAAACTGCTTTTGAAAAATATTATTTCATTTTTTTTTTGTTTTCCTTTAAGTACTTTCAGAAAAGTTTATTCACACAAACATATCCTATTATCACACCTTGCAATTAATGGATAGGCATTTAAACTTGGATAGTGTGTAACCAAAATCTTGATTGCATTGGCAGTTCCAAAATTTTGAGAATAATAGAAAAAAGCTGGTATATTCACATGTTGAACTAATCATTTATATAGTTCTTTCCACCTACAGCTTAATTAAGCTTTTGGAATATTGGTGCATGACATCGTAACAAAGCATATATGACCAAGAGTCATAAAAAGCTAAATTTCAATACAAGTGGACGGACCTGTACATTACCTTAACTACACTTAAATCCTTAAGGGAACTTGCCTGTGAGGATGTGTTATTAGATGTAATATAAATCATTCACATGTCTTCACTTAACAATTAAAACTTTTGGAGTTGGTTTATGACAACTTTCTTACTTAACTGCATTCAGATTTCACATGCTCTCTAGAATTCAATTCAAAGTAACTTCAAAACCTTAGCTTGACCAGAACCTTCCATTTTAAGATTTTAAGTAAATTAGCTGCGCATTCTCTCCCCAACTATGTTGTCTCTATAGTAATCACCACATGTCACAACAACAGAACCAAAAAACATGAAACATAATAGCACCACTGACATTTTTCCCATTGTGTTTTTTTTTTTTTTTTTTTT